AAGCTATACAAGACCAATTAAAGACAAAATTACAAGGCAAACCTGACATTCATTCAGCATCAGTGTAATTTTAGATATGTCAAAGATTTGAGTCTGTTATAAAATGTTGAAACTCTACACCAGAAATGTGACTTAACGTGGATTGTTTGGTGCACTACTCCTGATTCCTAGTTGGACCCAGTGAATGGTATTCCTCTTAATCATCAGTCAGATTTTGAAGCTTGTTTCGCACCAGTTCTTTTCTTACAAGTGGGCTCCCAAAGCAGTACAAATGGAGGACAAGGGGGTCAAATGCAAAATTAATCATTTCTGGACTTATTTAACTATGACACAACAGCTCCGCCTGGTGACAGAAGTGTTGAATACACCATGACCTGGTCAGCGTCGAGAGTCACGTGAGCATATGTGTTTTCAGGTGTAATGTAGGAAGTGACACTAGGGGGATTTTCTGGGTGATTCACTTCTAACTACCAACATTTCCATACAACCGCTTTCTGTTAAAATATGGTATTTTTCAGTGTTGTGCATAAAAGCTGACATGGGCTTGACTGACCAGAAAGGGGAAAGGTTCAACCACATGGGTAATTCAGCACATGACATTATTCCTCTAATGTGGGAAAGCTAGAAGACACTTCAAGATCAGAGAAGATAGAAATTTATTTAGTGTTGAGCAGCAGTTGCAATACAAAGTAGAAAAGAATGCAAATATAACATACCATTAAAGGTGCAAGAATAAAAATATAAATAAACAAATACACAAAATCAAAATCTACACAATGCTGAAAATATAAATCCCTAATATGTGACCTCACCAAGATGGGTTTAATCCAGCTGCACAAGCAACTAATGACTGACTAAATGTCTCTGATTTGTTTGTTGACATTTCAAAGAGTACAGCCAGAAAATGACCCACATGTGTACAAAAAATCCCCTTGGCTCGGTTACTCATGGTGTCCCTGTTATGAGTCATTCTCAGGGAAATGCAAATGTGATTTGAAAATAGGATGCCAGGAATATTTGCTAGCCAAAACAATGAATGTGAGAGCTGATGAAAGTAACTAATCAAATCAAAAAAAAAAGTGTACAGTACTCACACACCACAGCCATGGTATAGCTTAAATGGAAATTTGGAACTCCTCACTCACGGTCTGCAAACTAAAATGATTTGACTTGGGAGGTTGGTATTGAACTGAAAATGAATACTGAACAGCACTGTTCTAAAAAAGCATCTGGCAAAAGTGTAAGTGGTACGTATAGGGCTGCAACTAATGATTATTTTCATTACAGGTGTCATAACTGTTTTTATTTGATTGACTAATGAATCATTTGACCTGTGAATGGCAGATTAATAGACAAAAATAGAAAGCCCAAATATAATTTGAGATTAAAAGTTCTTTTAAATAGTTAACAAAACCACATTGTCCATTTAGCAGCTATTGAAGCTTTTGATTATGTCAAACAATCGTTGTGGAGTGGCGCAGGTGTCATGCATTTGTAGATGTTGAATTGTTAGTTTATCAGGGATCCTACAGATAAACATTGTTACAGTCAAGCTACACAAAAGCAGTGCAACAGATGTAACGTACAAAGGGAATCTAGCTGAAGTTCATTTCAAAAAGGTTTCAGCATAAACATAAAGTAATGCTATTGTTGTCTCTGTCACCATCACGCACCACAATCTCACAGCTAGTTTGCATTATTTTGGTTACATATGCTATTTTTTATTCATTTTATTCATATTTACATCATATCATCTATTATATATCAGGCTACATATATCCTTATAAATACATATCCTTTATATTTATCCTGTGCAAATTATAGTGTCCTTTACAATTCCTGCTTGTATCTTGTGCAATCCATCTCTGTAAATTCTCCAATTTACAGGATAATATTTTTAGTATAATGCTACACACCATATATGTATCATGTGTAATTATCCTGTGCAATCATCCACTCATGGTCATATTTGTATAAGTGAAGGGTGTATATAGTGTACATAGTTTTTATCGTATTTCATGTATCACTCTTTTCTTCTACTTCTGACTCTTGCACTGCTGTGACAAGTGAATTTGCCCAGTGTGGGATCAATAAAGTTTATCTTATTTTAAATCTAGTTTAAAACAGCCAAAACAAAAGAGAGTCAAAACGTAAATCAAACATAATCGGGATAAAAGCAACTGGAGAGACAAAACAGATTAAAAGGTTTACCATCACAAGCCAATAAAGCAGAAAAGAGAAGCAGGAATGAGGGAATGCTTTGCAAAATGAACAATTAACTACGCAATTAGTCGACTTTTAGCTCTAATGCGGAATAAAATGTGTTTAACTGTTGAGGAAAGCAGCATGTTTTTCAAGCTAAACACAGCGCCCAGTTATTCCCCCTCTCAGTCTCTTCTTATTTCCTGTCACCTTTCAACAGCCCACTGCGGATTAAACGCAAAAATACCCAAACAAAAACTTAAAGGTTATCTGGTTTACCGGTCAAACAGGCACAGGTGAAGACTGACTTCCCCCTTTAACAATCACTGTCAGAACAGTATAGAAGCTTGAGTGGTTATTGCTGGCTGTTTGTGAGAGTGTGAGATGAACCCTAGGGCCCCATGCAGCAAAATACAGGAATGCATCCTGATCTGGGAGGATTTTTGTGTTAAGACATGATTTATTGGCATAACACAGACTGCTGAACTCAGTGGTTCTCAAACTCCTTCTGTCAAGCCCGTCCTAGAGAAGATGAAAAAAGTTCAAGCCCCCCGACTCCAACAAAAGGGGATTTTATTTCTATCAATCATTAACAACATGGACAATAAAATAAAACAAAAGATTCAGGATAGCAAAATGCTTGCTCCAGAAAAAGTATTTTTGTTGATGGCACCACATGAATCACATTCATAAATATTAAATATCTCATCAACCATTCATGGTCTCCATGACGTTCTTTCTGGTTTCCCCTTAGATCTATAAAGGATCTATGTGTACACAGGGTATATAACTTAGGTTTTATATTCCACTTAGTCTATTTTAATTACCTACCCTATTACTTAAAAAATGTATTATTGGAAGTTTGTTCAAGATTCTTCCATGTGACAAGGATATTGTGACACACATGTACAGGGTCTGGTCATTGTCACTGGTCATTTTGCTATATACAGTATATCCCTCATTTTCTTCCTGCAGGTTTTTGACTGAGGATCTGTAGTTAAACGTTGCTCATAAACTTCTTGTATGACAGTTTCTCCAGAAGATGAAGCCTGTTGACTGATGCCCAGACTTTTTCTCCAGCACTGCCATGAGGTTGACACTTTTGTTTTTCAGTGAAATGTCTTTATAACTGTTAGATTACAGTGGAGGAAAGTACAAAAGTACATCTACTCAAGTACTGAGGTACTTCTAATTTACTTGAGTATTTCTACTACTTGTCTTTATACTTCTACTCCACTACAGTTCAGTGGAAAACTACTCTGGTACATTTATCTGACAGCTTCAGTCACCATTTACTTTGCAAAAACAAAATATAATTAACAAATAAATGATGTATTATTATTGATTAAGCTACCCTGTAGTACATAAAGTATTTGAAATTAGCACCACCTTTACCAAGTGCAACATTAAAGTGATGCCTACACATTAATGCATCAATAATTAAACATCCACTAATAAAATATATATTTCATGTACTTTTACTTTTACTTTTGGCCTATTGATGCTAATACTTTTTGTACTTTTATTATGAATGTAGGACTTTTACTTGTAATATAGTATTTATATACTGTGATATTACTACTTCTATTAAGATCTGAGTACTTCTTCAACCACTGTTGGATGGATTTTCATTAGGTTCATTTCACATACACCAGTTTTGTATCTGCTTTCATATACATAGATATGAAACAGTCTGAATTGTAGACCTGGTATTGCATCTTTTCTTTATACACTCTCACCTGAGCACAAATGTCCTGATCTGACACCCTGAAGCGATTGCCACCACAGCTATTGATCCATCATATACATATATGTGAGCACTGTACCACAGGTGAGGTGTAGACATGGATGCATTTTCTCCTGAAATGTGATAAATATAGAAGCAATATTCATAAATTCAATACCAGATTTCAAAGAACTTGAAGATAAGAATAATCCAGGGGGAAGGAACCTCGCTGCCAAGTAGGCCTATGTGTCCCTATGTCAGAACCTGAGGGACGGTTAGTGACTCAGCCAAGTGTTGCACTTGACGTTCGCTGCGTGGCAGGTTACATTTTAGAGCCAATTACTATTTGTAGTTTACTTTCTATCTGTATTTGCTTTTTTTGTTTTTAACTGAAACATTAGTGCCACTAAAGCACATTGAACTGAACCGTTTATGTCCTCACTTTTCATCTAGCGCAGCCATAAGGTCAGCATTTCAATAGGTCCCATCCTTTGGTTTGTAACAGTTTATGTAACAATGTAATAGTTTTTTTTTTTATGTTTTGTTTTACAATACACATAGCCTAACTGCCAGGGTGGCTATAGTCTTGTTCACTGTTTCCTCTTCTCTGCTTTAATTTATTTGAATTTCTTTATATCTTATTTCTGTCGTTCTTTGTATTCTTTCTTTTCTATCTTACTTTATGGCAAGTCCGTACTCGGCTGTAGAGAGCAGGGCATACTCAACATTCCTAAGGAGTGTCTGTGAGAGCCAAAGTCCTCTGACAAGCGGAAAAAGGAAACACACACACACAAAGCCAAGTCTGAAGAACCTACATTAATTGTGTGTACATACAGATAGCCTACTCTCTCAGTGTGTGTACTATTAAAATACTTTAGAGGATAAATGTCCTTGCAGTTCACAGAGCAGAGGATGTGGGAAACGCCCGTAACAAGCGCACAAGTACTTACACATGACATCACTATGCCTGACTCACAGCTGGGATAGTCACCGCATCAGATGCCAGCTTGCCATGACGAAAACTGAAACACACGCCAGCTAAGAAAGATCCGCATGAAACCGGCCGCCATATTGGATCAACGGATACATTTCATTCGCTGAACTAATGGGAGCTTTGAGCCTAAATGTCGGCGTAACTTACGCAGTAACATTTGCCCTTTCTGTCAACAGAACACGCCCCTTTACCTCTCGATGTTTGCGATGATAGCCAATAATATTAGGGTGCTTCATAAAATGACAGCACGGTTGACCAATCAGAGGCGTGAATTCTGACAGAAGAGGCGGGTGAAAGGCGTGTCTGTGGGATGTAGGGTGTCGCCGAGGAGGCTCCCATTCGAAGGCGACGGCGGTCGTCTATATTTCGGTTGTAATCTCGAAAACAAGCGAAATAACTTCCGAGCCGACTGTGAATTTGTCACACTTTAACGCTGAGACTTTTGTCAGGTTCTTCTCTCGGTCGAGCTTGTGGCAGGGCTCTGGAATGACGGGGTGTGCCGAGAATTTGAATTAGCTCGCCGTTAGTTTGAAGAAAGAGTGAGTCGGGTTTAGAGAGAGAGCGAGAGAGAGAGAGAGGAGCCATTTTGTCCCGACTGTGTGGGAGAAAAGAAAGAGTGGAAAAGAGGAATCACACGGGAAGGAGATCTTATTTTTGCTTGTTGTGCTCATGCTGTAGGGGGGAAAACAGTCAAGCGTGGGAATTATAATTTACAGGCACGTTATTTGGGTGGTATTTAGCCAACTAGCTTGCCAAGCTAATCAACAAATCCCAGATTGTTAACTTAACAATCAAGAAGAAGCGGGGTAGTTGGTCAGGTTGGCCAAAGAGCTGGCTTTAGACTCCACAAAGACGTGCTAGGATATCAGGGTTTTTTTGTACCTTGTCTGGGTTAACACAAGCTGATTTTCAATGGCGAAGAAGACGTACGACTTGCTGTTCAAGCTGCTTCTGATCGGGGACTCGGGCGTGGGGAAGACCTGTGTGCTGTTCCGCTTCTCTGACGACGCCTTCAACACAACCTTCATTTCCACCATAGGTAAGAGGACACTGCGGTCATTGATACTGGATGGTGTGTTGTTACCAAGTGTTTCTGATTTTGTTTAACCCACATTGGAGGTAGTTTGACATCTGTGTGACTCTCCTGCAGCTGGAAATGGTAGGCAGGACACATTTGGTTAGCCGGTATGCTATCAGGCCTGCACTGTGTTAGCTGGAAAGCTAGTTTTAGGAGCTCTTCGCTAAACCCAAGTCACTCCTGTTTTACATGACTGCGACTTTAATAGCAAAACATACCTTTTTATTTTGATTTAGTCCGCCAGAAATGGACCGTATAACCTGTTCAAGTGCTAGAGGAATAGCTGTCATGGCACTTGACCCAGTAGCATGTGAGCTAACCAGGCTGGCACTGGGTAGCAGGACAGGGCCGTGCTGCTGTTACAAAAGCACTTAAAACTGCCTCCCTAGATAACTGACAGGCGTTTACATCTCAATATCATCATATATAACTATCTTGATACCTCCGTTTCAGGGAGTTACGCAGTTTACACAAGTCCCATCAAAAGCAGTGATGAAATAAGTATTCAGATACTTTATACTAATGTAAAAATACATTACAAGTCAAAGTCCTGTTTTCAAGTTGTTTCAGATGTTTATGTATATTATGTTGTTGGTATATCATCATTACAGCTACATTAATGTGTAAGCAACATGTTAAAGTTATACCGTAGCTGCTAGAGGTGAAGCTATTTTAACTACTGAACATACTGTTGCTTAGTCTCATCTAGAACAATGGATCATATCTTGTAATAAGATCATGTGTTGTGTATCCAAACTCTGTATCTCCGATATTACTATAGCTGTCAAAAAATTGTAGTGAAGTAAAAAGTACAACATTTCCCTCTGAAATGTAGTGGAGTAGTTGCAGAAACTACTACAGAAAAATACCTCTAAGTAGTTTTTAAGGACTTAAGTAAATGTATTTAGTTACTTTCCACAACTGCTCCAAAGAAGACCATAAACAGTCCATCATGGTGGCTTCATCAGCCTTTTCTTCTCCCCTGACCTCTGCGCATGCGTCCAACATCACGCTCTCATGAGTCAAGTGTCAAACTATGTCAAATCCCTGCACGGCCCAAGTGCGGACTCCGTTTACTCCTGTTGCTTAAGATCAGAGCTGAGTAATAGTTTATCATAGACATGTTTTGCTGAACCACATGGAGCTGACTTTTTGCAGTGCACAGGTATTGCATATTTGATGTATTTCAGCTTTAATTTCAAGCCCAATTGTTGACAGCTTGTTTTGACTGTATGTCTTTAGACACACAACCATAATGGGACAGTGTTCCCAGTGGCATCCAGGTTAGATTAGATTTGTTGAGGTACAGCAATAAACAATCACTCTTTTGCAAAGCTTGCTGTCACATGTATTTATGTGTTTTTGTTTATGGTTTGTTGTTGTTCTGTCTTTTCTTTGTCTTGCAATCAGGCTAGAGTGTTTTTGTTGTGTTACACTCCCTCTTGTTTCTCAAAATGTAGTCATAGTCCGTGCTGTCAAATTAAAAAACAATATTTCAGTTAAAGCAACCATATTATTGAATGCTGTGTTGTTTATTCTTGGTTGATGTAAAGCACTTTGGACACCTGTTGGTTGCTGTCAAGCGCTATATAAATAAATGTTGATTGATTGATATCTATCCATATAGCTCTGCCAGTTCAAGCGAAGGCTGTGTGAAGATGGTCAGATGCAGACTGACGGGTTCTTCAGCAAAGACCAATAGGGACTTTTTCTCCTTGTAGGGGTGCTTTGCCTGCAAAATTGGGTAGTAAGTCAAGTAAATACCTGTAAGTGTAAGCAGTAACTACAGGTGATTTTCTTCCTTCTAGAAAAACAATATATTTACCATACTCCAAGTCCACCCTCAAGCAAAATGTAGCTCCAAAAGAACCTGTTTCCCATGAAGGATAATATACTTGACACTGCTAAAGCAATTATGTGGATAACAATATTATAAACATGCTCTGTTATAGTCTAATTTATCCCAAAGCTTGTGTAAACATGGCAAACTTTTGGGTTGGTAAAGTTATTTAAAGTAAAACTAGATGAACAGAAACTGAAGAGAAAATCATCTTTGTGCTTGGACTGAAACTGTCAATGCTGTCATTTATTTTAGGAAGTGCTCCCACCTCAGTTTGTCTAGAAACATGGCAAGACAAGTCAAGAGATACTGGAACAAAACAACAAATTTTTACTCACGCCAGGATGTACTCTTCAAGAACTTATCCCCTCCAACATATTTGTCATCTAACCACAAGCTTCCGTCTTAGCTTTTCTTTGTTCTACACCTGTGTTCAAAACAAAGCATCATGCAGTGTGATAAGATGTAAAAAATGAAAAATATGGAGATTATAATCTCTCAGAACATTATATAATCCCGACCTTTAGTTGTCAGGGAACTCTGATTGTTAGCTATATACAGTATATGTGTCTAATTATTGTGATGTTTTTATATATTGCCTCTTGGTTCTGTTTCTGATGTTTATTTTCTCAGTTTATCAGAAAATAAGGCAAACGTACTCATAATTTTGTATAGCCCATGGTGACATCTTCGGATTACTTGTTTTGTTCAACCAGTAACTTAAACCCCAAAGTCAATTTGCTGTCACATTAGGCAAAGAAAATCAGCGATAACTCATAACTGAGAAGCTCAAACTGAGTAACTTTTTGGTCTTGTGCTTAATAAATATTTGAAGAATATGAACACAAGCCTCAAAGTGTGTGAAGATTGATGCCTGCTTTTGTTGCTATATGATTAGTGGTTTCATCTTTTCAGCCAGTATTTTGTTGGCTACAGTGTTTTTGGCATACACTATTGAAAGTTTAGTGGACACAACAAACTGATTAAGTAAACGAATCATAGCACTGTAGTACAGCAAGAACAAAATGTACTTAACTTACTGTTATTAAATTACAAGAATCCATCTTACCAAACTGTCAAAGCTGGCAAAAAATGTATGCTTTACTTTAAAAGATAAAGGGCCCTACACATACAGCACATACAGCCCTTGATGTCTAAAAGGACAGTAACTTTGGGAAGAAAAACGGCAGAACCAGGACATGTGGAACATGAGTGTGTTCTTCCTCTGACACAGTACTCATACCTTTTGGAGACACAGATGCACAGCTGCTTCTCAAAATACCCCCACTGGAAAACCCCCCTCTCATCAGTCGCTCATCCTCCTTTCCAATCTCCCTCTGTCCTTCCTGCTTGTATATCTGAGATTATGCATATTAAGAGTGCTTAATACGGCATGATGTATCTAAAAATCTCTTTCCACAAAACACCATGAATTTTGCATGGAAACTGGCGTTGGCTACAGTGGAATTCTTATTTGTGGAAGAAATGGTTCCTCTGGGACTGAAAAGAAAGCCGGTCCATAAACCATGTGCTCTCTGTTTTAACGACGTCCAATTCAACATTTGGCTGACATGGAAAGTGTCATTCCCCACTGGTGAAGTGTGCCCCTTATTCCAGTGATTGCACAATGCACATATTAACCTTTTTACTCCTCACCAGAAATACACAAATATTAAGTCATCCCTGAGGAGCTAGAGTTTGGAGAACACAACTTTTAGAAATGGTTGTGAAGAAACCCCCCTCTCTTTTACCTTTTTATAATATGCCAAATATGTAATTGGTGCATCCATAACCCTGTTGAATGTAAGCTGGGTCTCATCTGCAGAACCTCTATCCTCATCTTTGTCTCCTTTTTGTTTCTAGCTAACCACATCTTGCTGTCACCCCCCACCCTCTCTCTAGGGTGTGCATAATATTTAGTGAGTCACACCTTGGCAGCCAGTTCCTTCATTATTCTATGGCCCTGCCCCACCTAGAGCACAACTGTTTCTTGGACTTTTTAACCAACCACAATTTTCTGACCACAGCGGAACTGACAACTCAATATTTAACTGGAAAACGCAACTTATTGGCCAAAAAGTTTCAGTCATGAATCACCCTTTTTTCTTGAAATGATCCTCTAGCTCAGGGGTCGGCAACCTTTTCTGTGATGAGTGCCAACATACAAAGATGAAGACATCCAGCAGCAGCTTTTGTTAATGCACATGTCATTTATTTTTAATTTATGCACTGACAGTTAGTCAGATTTTAATTGAAGTTTGACCTTGTTAATAATAATAGACATATAATATATAGGGCTGTCAAGCGCTGAAAAAAAAATCTAATTACAAGTTTTGTCACTTGTTTGTAGTTTTGTAAGTAATTAATAGAATGAATAGAAATTAATCACATTGATATTTGCCATGGTAAGCATTTAAAATGTTATAATTCAAATAGATTTTGGTAGATGAGTGCATCAATGATAATAAAACTTATTTAGCTAAACATCTTTATTCCCCATACATAACCTTTTTGTCACTGTTCATATGCAATAACAATGCCATGACAATTTTTATTAAAACACACTAATAGTGTTTTTGTGATATTGAAGACCTTCAAGAAACATTTGGATGACACCTGCCTCCTAGGTTTGAATAAGCAAGACACCACTGCATGGAACAAGAGCAGGTCAAGCTTGAGCTGGAACACTTAAGTCACAGTATACTGCTAACCACCAACATGTCATGTGTACAGTCCGTCAGAAGGCTAAATTAGTTACAAATGCCTCTTATACCATCATTTTTTCTTCTAAATTAATATTTTTTTCACCACATTTTCTGTCTCTGCTGCACCTGTCACACAAACTGGATGGAAAGTAAACTCCTTTGATTGGCGCCGTTGAACCAATCAGATTACAGCAAAAACGAGGATTCAGTCCAAGTTGGGAGGGGGGCTTGTACCCCCCCCCCCCCTAAAAATTGTATGTTGTAGGTTGGCCCAGTCTCACAGACACTGCTGCAGCTGACCGGCCGGTCGGCCAGCTCGGATGCGGATCATAAAGTACTGCGATTAATCCTGCATAAGGCGTTATTTTTTTCTGTATTTCTATCATTTTGACAACCCTAATAATAATGTAAATTAATTAATTAATCATGGTGGTTGATCATCAGTTTTTTCACTAACTTAATGTAATATTAAACAATGTAGCGGCATATGTCAATGTTGTAGGATTGAGTTTGCTTTCTCACCTGCCCACACTGGCATGCGTGCCATAGGTTGCTGACCCTTGTTCTAGCGCTTCACAATAATGGCAACGATTATAATTCTGGTTCTATTTTTGCTGGGTCTAGCCTCTGAAATGAAAGAATTGTGTTTTTTCTTTGCCCTATTATGATTGAATACCGTAGGCTTTCAAAACGAGGAATCCGATATGGGTTTTTTAATGGCCGATCTCGATATTTAGAGAGCAGGGCAGCCGATGGCCGATATATAATGCCGATATCAAAACAAAGAAATGTATAATTCTATTAATACTTGCAGAGTACAATTTAATATACATGTTAACTCAGCCAGGAGCATGTTGTTTCAGATGGAAGTTTTAATAATGAATGAAATAGAAAAATACATTGCTTTATGCTGTAGATTTCAGAACGTGACCAGTGTTTGAGGGAGAGTGGGGTACAGTTTGTCAGACGTGAAGTCATTCAACTGCATTATTCTTGTGTGTGTGTGTGGAGAGAGATATAAATATAATTAGCCAGTAATGGTTTTAGATTAGATCTGCTGTCATTTAGGATGATATATTGACCTTGTCCGTGCAGTTTTCAACCGCTGACGATTAACTCAAAATGTCAGATATAAGACGTCTATGACTATTATTTAGAGCTCCAGGAAATTGTGATGAAACGTTTTTAATGAATCTGAAATTTTGGATTAGTCAGTAAAATGATCCAACCAAAATGGAAACTGAATTATGTTGGTTTCCACATTGGAAAAACATGTATGCATAGGAAAAACTGTGCTATTTCATGACAGCCTGTCTACTTAATGCAACACCAGTCCAAATACTCCAGCCAAAAATACAAAAAGACCATAAGCACAGGTCTCATAGTAACAAGGTTATTGCAGTGCATGTAAACAAGTTCTCAGTTTTCCTGCCTTAAATTGATTTCTTTCAATAAGTGTGTGTGTGTGTGCCCATTGTTAGCCAGCTGCGGATCACACAGCTGTGTGCCGATAGGCTCAAGGTCTGTGCATGACACTGCAGAATCAGGAAGAGATAATGTTATTGTCTGTGTGATGGAAACACTTGTCTCTCACTTTCCATTTCCCTCTCCTCTCCATTTTTCTCACCAGGTTTCTATTTCTCACTGGTTGCATCAGTCGCTGTCTCTCATCGTCAGCGCCTCTCGTGTTATTTATTCATATATTTGTGATAGATGTATGCTAATACATTGTCTTTGTTTTACAGGAATAGACTTCAAGATCAAAACTGTTGAATTACAAGGAAAGAAGATCAAACTACAGATATGGTGAGTCAATGGACTGTTTTGAGATGTGGCTTTTTACTTTGTATACACAAGTCAGGGTTCTCTGTGTAGAAGAGTACAGGGCTGGAAAATACGCAGACATCGTGAGGATCGTCTATCAATTCAGCTTCTTCTGTTTGTGCCTTGTTACATCACACTGAAACATCTGTTTGGCATACCTCCCTCAAGCCGAGAAATATGCTTGAACAAGAAACAGTCACCAGTCCATGCAGGGTAATTATTGTAGTAATATAACAGTAGCTAATATTTTTACTTGTAGTTCATGTTCCTCTTGCAATGTAGCTGATGTGAATTCCTGGATATTAAATGTTTATCTGCAATATTCTGTAGTGGTCCCGGCCATATTTGTTCTTACAATGCCATGAAAGAGCCCTGTTTGAGACTGAGAACATCAAATATTCATACGCTGAATATCTTTTACAACTATTTGATTCTGCTGGCAAAATATTAATCACACTAATGTAGATCGCCAGTTTATGAAGCATTTAAAAAGCAATCTACTTTTACAGATGTAGGAATGTAATGAACCAAGATGTTCTGCATATCTGTATATTTAAATTTTTATATTCGATAAAGTGGTAAAAAAGTTGATTTTTAAAAAAACAAGTTTATTTTTTTCCATTTTACTGGTGTAAACAAACGCACACTGGCTTTGTAGTAGCTGTACAGGACGGCGTTCAGTCACATGTAGAGGCGCGTACAGCAGCGTTCACAAACGGCAACTGCCATTTTGTAATGGCATTTTTAAACATCTGTTGGCAATATTAAACTTTTAACGGCAGGGGAAGGTTTGATTTCTTTAGTGATTATTTTTGCTGTGTGGCAAAGATGTAACCAGCAGAAACGCTGTCAGCCAATACGACGGCTCTTTTCTTCCATCCGGACGTCTTTCCCGGCATGCTTTGCTGATTACGATGCAGTAAGAAATGACCGATATCCATTTCCAAGTGAAATGTGTGTTTGCCATAAAGACTCCGTCAGAGTTTTGTAGACCTGAGCATCGGATCAAATTTGGAAGGAAATCTTCATATTTGAGAGGCTGGAACCAGCAAAGTTTGGGAATGTTTGCTTGAAAAATAACTTATTATTCTCGGTGACAGCTTGAAGGAGGAACTGGGATAAAGTAAAAGGAAAATGTCTCTTTACAGCACAGAGTCTGGGCCATACATAAATCTCAAAGTATATTGGACTACCCTTGTGCCTCTTGATCTTTTTCCAGACCCTGAGATGCAGTGAAAATCCCAAGAGTTTAAGATTATTTGGTCAGACTTACTATCGAATGAAATACACGTTCAAAGAGTTTTAATATTCATGTTTATGAAGTTACAAATGTCTTTAAAACAACACACCAATTGTCTGTCAAATGTTGCAAGGTTGATACACAAAACTCAGATTAATACACTGGTATTTTTACGATAAGCTGAACATCTACTCCTCAGCAGACGATACAAAGCTAATCGTAGACACCTGCACATCCACACTATGTGAGGTAAAGGTTGATTATGTGAAGTTTTAACGCATCGGGACACAGTGCCTGTATGTTTTCATCTGTATAGCACCTGAGAATACTGTATCTTTTGATAATGGATTATTATTAGCATGTCAAGGAGCTGTGGTTTACACTTTTATAAAAGTTATATTAAAGGGTCTTCTCTACTAATCTATGAAGCTTCTGTGAAGAAACTGTTGTAAGCGTAGGTTTGATTTGCGCGTGTGAACCTGGCGCTGCTGGGCTGCTTCTCTTTTTCTTTATCAGCCGTGATAGATGGATGTTGGCAGGGTTTCCCCAGATAGGATAATGTCACAGTTGAGATGCATGCTAGTGTAGACGTGTGAGGGCCATAGTTAGCCTGCAGTGTATTTTAATGTGTGCGTGTATTTTGATTTGTAAGGCTTACCAGGCTTTTCAAGTATATATTTTTTATTATTATCTTTTTTTATTGTTCCTCTGGGCCTCAAAACAGAGATGCTTTTTCTGCTCAGAGTCCAGTGTACTAATGGGGCATTAAATATTTTACAACTTTTATCAGCCTCCTTTGGTGATTTAAAGGATTTGCATTACAATGACTGTGTCAGATCTCTGGCTTACCTTTATAAAGGCCTGTAACTGGCATAAATAATGAAGTCAAATTTTCATAATTGAGAGTAGTGAGCATGCCAAGCAGAGATCAGACATTTAGAGTGAATGCATTTGTATGCTAAATAATAAATAAATAATACTGTTATGTTATTGCTTTTCTGGCTCAAACAGAACATTTCAGCATTTGTTGCTGATGTGCACTCATGGTTAAGCAAGAAATCTCAGCATCTTGTGAATTAATCGTTGAGTCATTGATCAACATCTCTGTCAAATCCTGCAGATATTTTATTGTCAGTTTGTGCTATGATGCAGTGACTTACAGAATCATTTGTTGTTTGTGTTAAGGGTTGGAATAAATACCGGAAAACAGTGAATACAAACAAATGTCTGTGTGTGTGTGTGTGTGTAGGGACACAGCGGGCCAGGAACGGTTCCACACCATCACCACCTCCTACTACAGAGGAGCAATGGGCATCATGCTGGTCTACGACATCACCAACGCCAAGAGCTTCGAAAACATCAGCAAATGGCTTCGCAACATTGATGAGGTAAAACGCACGCATACACACTCTCTCTCCCTCGTTCTCTTTATACTCTGAGCCAATGTTATCATGTGGATTTATGTTGCTGGGTAAAATCTTATCAGAAACATTATCAGGACGGCATCATCGCAGATCATCACATTACAGGACTATTTTTTGCTTTTTTTTTTTTGTTTGTAGAGGCGAGTGTTGGCACTCCTTTTTCATCTATTGTTTTTTCTTTGGCATAATGACAACGTGACTAACTTAAAGGGAGTGTAGCCAACATTGCTAACTAGCTGGCTGATCTGTGTGCAGTGAGCTGTGTAGCTGGAGTCTGTGACTAAATTACATCAGATGAGCCAGATGTCTGTATGCATCTGGCTCACTGCAGGAGAACTGTTTTTACCTCATGAATTTCAGTATAATTCAGTAGTAGAACACAATTTCAGCTCCAGACAGGGATACAGGCATGTCAGACTTTCAGCTTTACTTTCCGTGTGTGTGTGTGTGTGTGTGTGTGTGTGTGTGTATTAGTTCCTGTTTCTGATGAGCAGTTTGGACCTTGTATGGTAGCCTGTCATCAATAGGTGATTGTGACATATACAATAGATGTGTTTGTAATAGCAGCTAATAGACTCCAGGTGTGACAACTGATTGTTATGGTTATAGGTGTTGATGCTTAATCTGACAAATCACCAAACTCTCACAGTATTATGTTAACAATCTTAGTTCTTGAGAAGGTTCATATCATTTTATCAGGGATATTTTATATCTACTTATGCCAAATTTTGTTTACAAAGCAGTATGTACAAATTATATATTATAACATTGTAGTGGTGTTGTATATTGTCTTTTTTTTGTGAAAGTGCTTAGGAAGTTTCATATTTATCAATATATAAAATAGGGATGAAATGGTTACCAGTTTAATGATAAACCATGATAAAATTTCCAACAGTTAGTATTACTGTACAAATTTTAATTATTAAGATAACAGTGTTTGATTATCACGCTTCGAAAACCTCACGGTAAACACTGTCCAGCATCAACCAAAGTTAGCAATAGCACATGATAACACGTTACGCAGTTGTCGAATTAGTGGCGAAAGGTCAGGTTTATGTCATTTGTTGGCCTCATGGCAATTGGTATCACTGTCTTCTTAAGACTTGTTTGTATTAATGTCATTATGCATGGGGTAATTGCATTTTCAGATATAATAAATCTTTAATGTTGATGCACATTTGATACAGTTTTCATATGTCTACATAATGTTATTTTAATGTTCATGCAACTGTGATCATTTTGGTCACTATAATCGTGATTTGAAATTTTCATACCGTTTCATCTTTAATAGAAATATCAGTATTTCAAATTATGTAATTAGTCTATACACACACTTTTGCCTATTAGCTCAATGTTAAATAGAGGTTACACAATATCCTGAGTAGTGTATGAGATCCTGTGTGATTTATGGGTTGCGGTTGCTGAGAGAGGATTTAACAGGATCTGTGAGGAGAACCAGTATTTCCGTCTTTGTTTGTTACTGGATATAAAGAGCAAAGAAGAGAAGCCTAACATATGCAGCATTTAGTGACCTCAGTCTCCCACAGGCCAGATTTTTCTAAAATGATTAGCTGATTATCAGATCTGTCAGTTTGTCGCTCACCCCTGTTAGAGGTAGATGCATCTCTGTGAGTTCTTGTCTCTTCTTGCCTTGCACCTTGCATTGTGTTTTAAACTATGGTAATATTTGTCTCAGTAGTTATTATTTTATTATGCGAGTCTTCTGGGCTCCACGCCAGATCAAACACATCAGATTAATTATTGTGACAGTTCGAATCAATAAATTACATTATCTATCTTTATTATTCCTGGGTGCAGCAATACACTGTAACATTACGACACATGATCAGTATGAGAATGAGGCGGACTGGGTGAGTCTGCCAGGCATTTCTTGTAATTTTTTGCACCCTCGCTGTCAAAGATCTTTAAGTCCGTTCAAGGGAAGGAAACACGATGCATTTCCTGCACGCAAAGGAACAAAAAAAAAAAAACCTGGCCATCAGGCCTGATGAGGCTGAATTATTAGACCTGAAACATTTCATTTCAGGGATTGACAGTCAATTAATTGCTTAAATAATTTATTTTAACTCAAATGCACAATTGGACTACTAGATACTAGTAAGAGCTATTAGCACGTATGGCATCAATGGGGTTAATACCAATGGAAAGAAGCTCATTTAGAGCTGCAGCTATTACTTGATGAGTCAATATGTCGATTAGAATATGTCGATTTAGGGATGAACGATATGGGGGGAGAAATCCTAATAGCGATTTTTATTTCTGTCAGATATTGCAATTATGATTCGATTTGTGATTTTTCTTTTGTCTTAAGTTTAGCTGAAGTATAATATTCACTGCCAGTCAATTTAAATTATCCCAAGTTTTCCTCTAGTTTCATTTGTTGTTGTAAAATGTACTATGCCCACTCTGATTGGTGAGTAGGACCGTAACAGGAGGCGAGGCGCATGGCGCTTGTGATTGGTGATCTGTCACACACGGATGACATCTGAATGAATTTGTAACTGCATGACTGTTTATAATGGGTCAGATGCACTGTATAATTAACCTACATTTTAATCGCCGTCTTCACATTTAGCTAATCGTGTCCTTTAAAATTGCAATTTCGATTTGAAAACAATCAATCGCTCAGCCATAATATCGATTGAAAGAAAAACGACTGGTTCAAAACAGACATGTGGCTGAAAATCAGAGATGAAACTTGGCATAATGTTGCTGATATGAAAAAGGTAATCTAATCTAATAATAATCTACTCTTTCATCTTTTATCGTTTTCAGCATGCAAATGAGGACGTTGAGAGGATGCTGCTAGGCAACAAGTGTGACATGGAGGACAAAAGGGTCGTACCAAAAGCCAAGGGGGAACAGGTGAGATGATGCAGTCCATTGCAGCTATAAGCAACCAGTCGTCATCAGGGTCCTTCATGTTGCTATTGCAACTACACATTCAGTTCATAGACCTCAATCTAGAAAAGCCTCAGTCCTGTACAGTTAAAAAGGTTATGTCAAAATACCATTTTAAATTAAATATTGTTGTTCTGCAGGGATGTATTGGCTGTTACATGGTACAGATCCATGCAAAAAGCACAGCATAATATATATTAATGTTTTTCAATGACAATGAGAATAGTGATTTTAAAAATGATCATCCCCCCTAATATCGCAAACCATTTCGCAATCTCTCAAAATAATCTTAAATTCCATATTTTTTTCGATATCGTTCAGCCCTAGGATAAGGTATTAGAACTGATAAAAATAGCTCAGAAGCTTATTAAAACTACTTGTGAAACGTCAGCTTACCAAAACAGTGCCTCCTTATAGAATGTGCAGTAAGCTGCTGTTTGTCTTTGCATGCCATAAAGGCTTATACCTACTGAAACAACTCAGTGACTGGGGACAACAACTCCTCAAACACCAGTTTATTGGGACCTAAAACATCTAAAGATTAATGCAAAACATTAAAAAATTAATCCTTTTAATTCTGTATTTTGATGTCCAAATTAAAACATTTTAGTAGCAGAAGATGAGTTTTTGCGCCGCCCTCTTATTGCAGGCAAAATTTCTCTCAAAGAAGCAGCTGCTGCAGTGTGAAAGGTTAGAGAATAACCGGACTTTGTTGACGGCGGATCAGGGCCAAGAAAGATGAGCCTCTTTACTGTCTTAACAAGTACAGCTGAGGTGCCAACAACACCACAGGGACATTTAACATTTGGATCGATTCATCTTCAGGAATATTTAGGGTTGTAACTCGGTTTAAAAATGTTTGAAAAGCAGCATTGTTGAATTTGTTATCTTACTATAAATGTTTGTTTACTTGATGAAAATGAGACTCACATTATGTTTCAACCTTCAGACTTCAATGTGGTTCTCAAACATTTAAAAATGTCAGTCCCTGTGTATCGACCTCGCTGCATAACTGCGTGATTTCTTTATGATTTTCCTAAAGACACCCGACACTGTGGGTCTTGGTGGTTAAACTTGCTGCATTCACGCTCAAACAAAACACTGCATTGTGTGAGTATGCAAACCAAACTGTATATAGGCATTTTGTGTATTAGAAAAGCAGCATCATTTGTATTTCACGGGCCTGCTTGTGTCGTAACTGTTGTGGAACAATAAAACAACTGCAACGCTTGCAGGGCTGCAGCACAGCAGCTTGCTTGATCTGGGACTTCACAAAACCACAACCTGTCCATATCACTGAGGAGATATGTTTTTTTTAAATTCTTTTATAAACAATCTTGTCAGCATTGCTCGCTTCAAACAGTGTCTGAGGTGAAGACTGCCATCTATGCTAGTAGAAATATCAAGGCCACTACTTGTGATGCCGAGTGTGGGTTGACAACACCATTCATGGTATGTACCAGATAGTGAGTAGACCGTAGCACGTTATATTATGTCTTGTGAAGGACATGAAACAAAGCATGAAGGTGCACAAGAAACTAGTAAGGCGGTACCATTTTGAAAGCAAAGTGCAACATATCAGACACAAATTGGGGGCTACATATTCAGGTTTCAGCAACGGGGTTCAAATTGGATTGAACACTTGTTTCCCTTCTTTTAGTCTTTGGCAGTCTGTTAAAACGTGCCTGAATCCTTGCATTTCATGTATTTATGAAGTTTTCACAAGTATTCTAGCAGGATTTAATGCAGTATAATAGCAGACAGGGAATGTTTGTGTATTTTCCTGCTCATGATGGAGTGACAGTGGTGGCATTCTGTGACGTCACTTCACATTCAATTCAGTTTCATTTCCATATTGGCACCAATTCATAACAAAAGTTTATCTCATTGCACTTTTCACGTAGAGCAGGTGTATACTGTACTCTTTGTCCATGTCCTCTATTAGTACAGAGTTTGGTCTATTGATGAAATCTCCAGTGTAACGCCGCCCACTTTCAGCCTGAGCAGAGATCTAATCATCTGGAACAAGTGAAAACATCTGTGTGTGTGTGTGTGAGAGTCTAGGGGCCTTTTAAGAGCTCTAGCTCATAACGCCAAGAAAACTAGCAGTGACTAGTCTGCCTGCAGATTCATGCAGATCATACACAGATCGGCTTACTCGTACACACACCTTCCTGACAAGAATGGAAGTCTATGTGTGTGTGTTGGTAAGGGCAGCGATACCTGATCTCTGCTACGCACAGAAGATCAGCCACTTTATTTTTGGACTGCACTTACACTGAAGCCACACTCATCGTTCTAACTCTCCCTGCTTTCTCCTCCACAGATTGCGAGAGAGCACGGCATTAGGTTTTTTGAGACGAGTGCTAAGGCCAACATCAACATCGAGAAGGCTTTCCTCACGTTAGCAGAAGACATCCTGAGAAAGGTGTGTGTGTGTGCGCTTTCAACAAAATCTGTGTGATGAGGGGAGACTAAATTGTAGTTTATGTTCAGGAATGGTTTATGAAAGGGTTCATACGACCTTTACAGAACCATCATGAATTTGCTGGGATTCTGGTAATTATTGTTTGTATTTTATAGGCGTAATTACAGGAACAAGTGCATAATTTTTTTTTTTTTATTATAATAGTGGTATTATTAGTTTATTTTACTCAACACGTAGCCTTCTCATAGGTTGTTCTCCTTGGACTATATAATCTTACTCTAATGATGACCCCCTTCTGCCCACTTTAAATGGTTAAATAATGTGCTGACAGGTGGTGCAGCCATTGCTGGTAATTATTACTTTAAACATCTAGTACGTGGGTTGTCAAATGAAGGGAAGCAAGAGCTTCCTCTTCGTCAACTTTGTAATCTTTAACATCAGTAAATATAGTAAGTCAGGATAGTCAACAAAGTTAACATCAGCAAAGCTTTTTTTGATAAAGCCAATAAAATATTCTCAATGTGAGAATGTCAAAACATCTGCACACACATGATGTACACATTCGTTTGTTGTAGGGCTGTACGCAAATCAGAATTTCTAGTCACCAGTTTTGACCAAATATTTGACTTTTATTTTCTTGTGGCTCCTACTTTTCCTTATCTATAGATATTTTGATATGAAATAGTGATAAGTATATTATTCATGACCGCCGCCCAGTTACAGTCCAGCTCATCGGGCCAGACTGAACTGCTGTAACTGCATGTGTGTGAAGTCTCATGTTTTACCTATCGGATTCAAGTTTGAATGTGTGTCAGCTTAAGTGTAGGTCACTCTGGACGTAAGTAGAGGAGGTAATACGAGCGACAGAAGGAGCTTCCACTCATGCAGTGTCCTGAACCACTCCCTCATTCTCTCATTCCTCACTTAATAAACATTAAATAGTTTACTCTACACCTGTCAGTGATGATGCAGAATTATGATTCATAGGTGTGTGAAAGTGTTTAGTGATCACTGTAGAGTCACACAATGGTAATTTTGCATTGCATTATGGGATTGTTGGCAGAACCGTGGACCTGTGGAAATCGTTGAGGGCACTATAGAGCTTAAACTCAGAATTCAGACCACCACCGAAATCAGTCCATTAAAGAGGAAGAAAGTAAACGTCAGCACACCTGAGGTGATGCGTGATTTTCCTCGATTCTGTTGAGTGTGTAATAAGATTTTTCTGTGTCTATTTTCTGCACAGACGCCCGTAAAAGAGCCCAACAGTGAAAACGTCGACATCAGCAGTGGAAGTGGAGTCACAGGCTGGAAGAGCAAGTGTTGCAGTTGAACAACAACTCTGTTTCACTCACACTAACGTGCACACACACATACACACATTCTCTCTCTCTCTCTCTCTCTCTCTCTCTCTCTCTCTCTAACTCTAACGCTCTCTAACCTGTCTCATGAGTTTTTCTTGCACACTGACACTCTGTCTGTTTATCAGAATAAAACAATAAACCACTTCACTCGTCTAATCCCCCCCCTTCCCACATCATATTCTTCCACATCATCATTTTTATTTCTGATAAAAAGAGAAATCCAGTCACGTTTCTTGTCATTTGTTTTAAAAGTAAAAAAAAAAAAAAAAAAAGTCAAAAGACAAGCTCATATTTTTAACATTTCCTTTGCTTGAGCTCACCTGGTTGGACCCCCCCCCCAATCCCACCCACAGCACTCACCTTCAGTCAGAGGAAGATCAAACAAAAAAGACAAATGTAGGATTAACATTTTGTACACTTAGTGGGGTTTCTGTTGTCTAACCGTATTTGGTCATTTACAATTTGTTACCAAGTGACAGAGGCGTGGCTAGCTCCTTTTGTATGTGGGGGTTTATTTTGTCCTGTGCCTTATATGGAAGACAGGGGCGGGGCTGTGTGGTGGCGGAGACGCATCCACCCATTGAGTTTAATATTCTCGGTTCAGGCTCCCGACAGGAGGAAGCCGAACTGAAGCGGAAACGTTTGAATTTCTCCTCCAGCCAAGAGAACGGCATTATACAGTATGTCCTGTTTATTGATGTTTTATTTTTATCTGTATGAGTTATTTTACTTAAATTTTTTTGATTTCTATTTCCCTTTTGGGTTGATTTAATTTTTTTTTTTTTTCTGCATGCAGATTTCTTTGGGTTGGAAACGTTTCTGTAACATTGTGTAACGTTTGCCACTGGGTAACTGTGGGCGGGAGGTACACAAGTTCTCTTTGGAAATTCAAACAGTTTTGCAGATCCATTAAAAATAAGCTTGTTTAAGTTAACTTGTTTGTCCTCAGTGATGTGCAGTGTGTAGTTTCATTTCTCCACTCATGTCAGATTTTGAGAACATTGTTCAGTTTGACATGTAATAGATTTCTAATGTGTAATCTTGAGTAAGCGTTCAGTCACACTTGGAAATATTTCCTCAGTTTACTTGCATCACAACCCACTCTATGACACAAAGAATATTTGTCAGATGTGTGATCCTGCAGATTTTCATGTAAAGGTTCACATTTGCAAAGATGTCCAGCGAGTATCATCGCAGACATTTTGACTTATAGGTAGAAAAGTACAGATGTAATGGAGTGTCCGAGAAAGCCATAGCAGTGAACTGGCAAGAACAATATGAGACTGATGCAGCCAGTATTAATGTCATTAATCATTAATTACAACTGTGCTAGTTAACCCTGACAGTCGGACTGAATTGCCTTTTTGTTTTGTTTGCACAAGGCGTCCCTCAAGGCTTTGCGTCCCGCAAAGCTGGCAAAACCAGGGATAAATGATTAAAAGAAAGTGTCGAATTTTCAACATGTCAAAATCTTTTGTTAACCTTAAGTTAGTCCCTGCAGCTTCCGCTTTCATTACAAGCAACACCAGTAAATGTCTCAGGAAATTTTGGTGCTGAAGACTTCAAGTTCAGTATCAGTTTGTCAGTGGAATATGGAGAAATTGCAAATTATTAATATGGTGAAAATGGAATAGTAGAGTTCTGCCATTAGATAACCAGTGGTTGTCCACAGTGCTTTAAGTGCTGAAGTATTAATCTTTTTAATTATTAAACAAAAAGGCTAATTGTCTCCCCTGTTGACCTTGAGAAGAACTGAGCAGATTAGGTCATGAAGAATTTTCAGAAGTATTTGAATGTCATATTTTTACCATCTTTGCTCATATTTAAAGCAAAAGAATAACATGTTGGGTTTTTATATACAGTAGATTTATACAGCGATTTAAAAAAACAGAAAGAAAAATCTAATTTCCCATTAGTGGTATTTTTTGATTGCTGGCACACACATTCATGTTGTGGTGTTACGAAACACTAAAGTACATGAACAACTTTTCTATAAACTCACAAAATGCTCATTATTAGTACATACATATATTTATACTATTAGTATATGTACAGAAGTAGATCTTTAGAAGTGGACACAGGAGGGTGTCGTGGTTCCCTCGTGTCTACTGTGTGTGGTGCCCTCTGGTGGCTGCCGCCTTAAATACACCACCAGCCTGCCTCTTCTTTTTCTACTGACTGAGGAGACTGAACTGCTGTCAAAATCTATTTATATTAAGCCAGTCATTTCTTTTTCACACGTTTTCATGTTGATGCAAGCTTTTGTCTGTATGAAAACTTCATCTGTCACTGCAGATATCTCAACTACCGAGTAAGTTGCAAACTCTCATGGGCTTTTTGGTTTTACCCAAAATCTGACGAACAATTGATTCCCAAAGGTTAATGTTTGTTTTATAAAGCAATACAGAAAGTGTTTTAATAAATACCCCCTTTTCACATGGAACATCTGTAACGTTATATTTAGTGGAAGGTTTGAGGCGACATATTTAAAGGTTAAGTCTAGAAATGTCATCATTATCTCTGCCTCTTAAGACCACTTAACACCAAAGCATCTGAAGACGATGATACATCAACATTTCTGGAGCACTTACCAGTCAGTACTTAGTTGTTGATTAAGATGAAGTGTGATGAATCGTAGTTGTGTGGCACCAAACTATTAGCAAAAGCGAGAACGTTGGTCACATTATTGAAGAATTACAAACATATTTTTGCCAATTCTGATTTGAAAACTACCATTAAATTCAACTGCACAGGTGAAAACACTAATGGGAAAGCTACCTTTAGTGGCTGGTGGAAATATTAGCATTTAATAAATGTATATTCATGTTTTAGATGCAGGAGAGTCAGGCATTTACTAAATGTTACAGAACCTTTTACCTGACGAAAGCAAGGAGGAAACTAGATATCTTGATATTATTTAGGGCTCAGACAGTTCTTCAACAAACTATTTTGATAATGGATTAATCATTTAAGTAATCTTTCAAGTAAAACTGAAAAACTGTCCCCAGTACCAGCTGGCAGTTGAGTTGCTGCTTTTCTTTTGTCTCACGTAATAACAAACTGAATATCTATGGGTTTGGGACGGTTGACATTCAAAGACATCATCTTAACTTCAGCAAATGGTGATTTTCCTGTATTTTCTGATCATAACTAAATTACATCACCGGTCCAGTGGTCTGTTTCTACCTGACGATATATATAATACAACACAGTTTGTATGTATGTGCTTGACATTGTTTATTCATTACCCTCTTCCCTGTATCAAACCTCCCAGAGCAATAATGTACTCAAAAATAAAATTCTCTCACTTACAATGAAAACACAAAACCAGTGCAGAATGCCAGTGGTCACCTTTAAGTCCATAACTACATTCAGAGATCTTTTCCTAAACACAAAGAAAAGTACAGCGGGGTTACAAAACCATCATACGTGATGGAGAGCAGATCTCTCCACTGTCTGTCCAACAATCAAGTTTCTTATGTTGTTGTTTTTTTTTAAATCGGTACAGAGGCACAAAAAACTCGACACACGACAGTTGTAGCGTTTCTCACAGACGAGAAGTAAGAAAACCTCTCACAGCTCCTTGGACACAATGTGGAGCACTACAGGATGTAGTGGTTTGATGCCTAAAAGCAAGGCATTTCTGCTTGATAGTGTAATAACACCACAAAAACTAATTTCATGGTCTTGTGATCTAAACGTGGGTTATTGCAAAAAACTAAAACAAACCCACCTATTTAGTGCTTTGGTTGAGAGACGAGCAGGAACTCTATGGCGACGAAAGACGTTTAGTTTTACAAAAGGAATTGAATCTATTTAGAGTCCTGTGAATTAGTGTTGTGGGTATTTTGGGTGTACTATAGACAGAGAAGCAAACAACATTAACAGAAGGCAGCAACAGTGGACACTGATGAGGGCCTGCCCTAAGATAAAATAAACAAAATCAGCTGACAGGGAAGAGAAAAATATTTACATCAACTGTATACAACTTAATTTATAAATACATTTTAGGTATAAATTAGAAAAATAAAAACAAAATACCTACTGTAGTTCAAACAGCTACTACTACTACTCATTTTAAAATGCCAGTCAAACCCTCTTTATATTTGGTGAAAGATACAACAAAAGATCAAAAAAGGCACAGCAATTAATAATTAGAGCAATTTATCCCTGCACATTTCTATGAGTCGCAATACTAAATCCCCATTGCAACAGACATTAAAATATAAATTATGATATTTTTTTTTAAACCAGTAAATGTAATTCCAACAAGAATTCCCACACTCAAACAGCATCTACACACTAGCATCAGCAGTTACACTTTTCTTAAATAAATTAAGGCTTTAGGGGGAGGGGGGATGAGTTGTCAAAGAGAGAGCACCCTGATTTCTTCTGCTTCCTGTTCCTGATTTTCAGGCAGCACACATCATACAGTGTACCTTTCAAATATTAAAAGATAGTTCAACATTTTGTGAAAATTTGCTTTCTTGCCCAGAGTTGGATATTTTATGTACGGTAAATATAAAGCAGGTCAGCTTAGCTTAGCACAAAGACTGGAAACTGGGAAAATTTTACTATCAGCGCTCTAAAGCTCATTAATTAACACCTTACATCTTGTTTAATCCACACAAAAACACATAGTTTCATAGGAATTATGTTCTGGACTAACCGTTGTCTCATTATCAGTTTTTGCTATGTAAACCAGCTACTGGCTGTAGCTTCATATTTACTGCACAAACATGAGAGTGGTATCGATCTTCTCATTGAACTCTCTGCAAGAAAGCAAATAAACATGTTTTTCCAAAATGCCTAACTAGTCCTTTTAAATTGCAGTGTGAACTCATGGTTTGGAAATCACAGTCTCCTAAGGTGACTGTGTGCTGACTGCTCATAAAAACATGTTTTCCTATATCAAGGATTTTAATGCTGTACCGATGCAGTCCCCCCTCCCACACACACACACACACACACTCTAACATCCTCCATGAACTTGTTATGTACAAGCAGTTCAAAGGGCCTCAGAAGCTAAACGTAGACCAGGTCTCTGCCCTGAGTCGCTGAGCTACTGGCTGCCTCCTGCGCCTGGCCCTCTGAGTCCGCCTCGTCCTCATCATAACCCTCATACTCGATGGGTTTGGGGCAGCTGTACGGGTGGCCGTTGTCGTCGAAGAAGCGGCGGAAGGTGAATTCGTAGAAGGCGTGTTCAGGGTGTTTGCCGTTGCGGAACCAGCAGTTGAGAGTGTCATTGTGGTTGTTCTCGCCGTCGTCGCTGCTCCACAGTTTATCTGGGTCCACAGGGTCGAAGTTGGAGGTGTCTGTGGAGTGAGCGATTGTTGGGATGTAGGGCGCCACTTGCTGCCGCTGGTCACTGGAGAAGTCGATGGTCTTAAAGAAAGGATGAGCTTTGATTTCGTCTGCACCGTTCTTGCCGAGGCGGTCCTCGGGGCCGCGGCACAGTTTAACTATGAGATCGGACGCCTCCGGGCTGAGCTTGGCCAGAGGGGGAATGTGCAGCATGCTTTTCCAGTTTATCACCTGGTTTCAACAGCAGAGACGACATTAAGAAACAATGAAGCCTGTAGATTAAAAGCATTTCACTGCAGGTGCTTCACATACCTTCAGCTGTGTCTCCAGGGGTGTGGTCGCTAAGAAGGGAGGCTGTCCAACAACCATTTCATACAAGATCACACCCACGCTCCACCAATCACAGAGCTGGGTGTATCCTAGAGAAGATTAAAGACATCAGTCACATTGCAACAACATCTCTTAGGAGGAGTTTGAAGACAATTTGTAATCAGTTAAAAAGAGTCAGCTTTTATTTTAAAGTGCAATTACAGACCAAGTCAGCTTTGGTTTATCCCCCTAGAAGAGCTCTAACAATAAGTCAACTAACTGATGGGTCAAAAGATAGAAATATATCTGCAGCTATTTTGATAATTGATTAAGATAAAAATTTATTCTGCTGTTGCTGCAGCAGAAGGACAGAAATAAGTACAGCTAAATAGAGAAAAAATAAAGAACGCAAAGAATACAAATAACAGAAACTACAAGAGCAATTAAACTCGGAATTAGATTCATCTTTAAAGCAAAAAAACACCCATCATTCGTTGGTCCCAGCTTCTCAAACGTGAGGATTTGCTGTTTACTTGGTTTCTGCTGGTTAGACAGATAATGTACGTACTACGCGGGATCGTTCGTTATCAAATGGATCAGGTAGTGGCCATCACATGACCGATCCACATAAAATACAGCATCTTTGTCAATGTCTTTAAATTCATTCAGTCACAGTAGGCTTCCTTGTGGTACCACAGAAATCTCTAACCTTGTGTTACTTCAAACAAAAATGTTTTCAGTGAGTTCCACACAGTGAGGTATACAGAGTACGGGTGAGGGCGATTATACCCTACAATAATATCCAGATATTTCAGGGTATTTCTGGGATCATGAAAATACTACTAAATATTTTTGATTTAGAACTTACAACAGCTGTTGAGCTCTCCTCGCAAGGTTTTGTCTCTCCTCGTACTCAACCGGGTGCTTCAGCTTGAGATGGTAAAATAAATTTGTTGTATTGACCCGTTTGTTGTTAGTCTTCTCGCATATAACCATGGTTTGTTGTACATCTGATTTTTTGTAACCAAACCACTTCCACACTTCTGGAGCCGCTCCCCCTTATGGAACTAACTCCTCCACCGTGGGGCCATTGGCAATGTTACTTTCGCTATCAGTCACGCTTGTTGTTGCAGCGTATCGGTATGACGCCATTATGCCAACAAGGTGTCACATTGCCATTATCATGAAATTGTAAACTATATGATATGGCACACCCCCTAATACAGAGTATGTATTTGGAAAAAAGAGGGCAATGGTATTAGATCAGGAGAAAAAAAGCTGGATCTGTAATCACTTATTCATGACAGTCGAGTTGACACTAAAAAGTTGCCTATGCAAAAATAAAATCCATCATCACAAATGAGTAAGATTTTGAACCCTCTAGCTGTGGTTCACCGTACCTGTTCGGAGCAGCACTTCTGGTGCTATGTAGTTGGGCGTCCCCACCAGTGAGTGAGCCAGACAGCGCTGGTGCTGCCGGGCCTTTCTCCTCTCCAGAGGCTTCAGCCGGTCTGAACAGCGGCAGTTGCCTGGGTCTTCCCAGTCTTTACTGAAGTCCATGCTGTCCTGCCTCACATGGTCACCTGGAAAGAGACCACATAGCTCATTACTTTGCTTGTGATATTGATCAGTATAGTACTTGCGAAGGTCAAGAGCCTTCATCAATTTGTACAAATAATGTAATTTAACTCCTCTTCCCCCCACGGCCATCATTTTAATAAAGGCTTTTTTTTGAGAAGGTTTTGTATGGATTGTAGATTAGAGGGTGAATTTAATATTTTGGATGAACTGTTAAGATATTTAAAAAGTGACACCCACCACTCTGGTAATACTTAGAGTCATGTGTCCAGCGGAAGCCAGTGCAAAGGCCGAAGTCCGTCAGCTTTATGTGTCCGTCTCTGTCTATGAGGATGTTATCAGGCTTGATGTCTCGGTGGATGAAGCCCATCTTGTGGACGCTCTCCACAGCGCAGGTGAGCTCCGCGATGTAAAATTGGGCCAGCTCTTCTTTGAAGATGCCGAGCCGGATAAGAAGGCTCATCATGTCCCCCCCGGGGATGTACTCCATGACAAAGTACAGGTTGTCCTTGTCTTGGAAAGAGTAGTAGAGACGCACCACCCACTCGTTATCTGCCTCAGCCAGGATGTCCCTCTCAGCCTTGACGTGGGCCACCTGGTTTCTCAGCAGCACATCCTTCTTGCGGAGCGTTTTCATGGCGTACAGCGCTCCTGTGTCCTCCTTTCTGGCCAAGCACACCTCGCCGAAGGCTCCGATGCCGAGGGTCTTGATTCGTTTGAACATGGATTTATCCATCTTGGCCCTCTTTAACCGGATGTAATTGGATTCTTTCTGACAGAGCATCATGCGCATCTGCTCCTGAGCTTCTGAAGACAAACCCACCTGAACACAGGAGGTAGTCAAAAGTAATTCAATAACACACATAACCTCAAAATGGCTGAGAAAAGGTGAACAAAAACAGACATGTAGTCCTGGTTAGATAATATTAACTGGCATTCAAGGGAATCAACTGAAGAAACTGACAAAAATGAAACCAGTGCAAAATGCATTTAAAATGATGAAATATATACTATAAATGCAAACATACAATATTTTCCTCATGTATTAATCATCACTTTAGTCCAAAACAAAGATGCACAAGCAGTGACATGATCAGTGAGATGGAGCGTCATGCATTTCCTTCAGCCACTGGGGCCAACATGCTGCATGTAACAGCTTTCTTGAGTGACTGATGTGTGTGGGCTAGTCTGTGTCACAGGACAGCAGAGATAACATTACCTTTTTAGATCAGCTGTTAGCAACAGCGACGAGAGAAAGGGAGAGAAAGAGCAGCTATGAAAAAATAGAACAGCATGAAAAAGACGTCCTCTCAGAGACAGATAATACAATGACGACAAGAGAGTGGGCAAAAAAGTTTGGGAAAGAGTGAAAGGTATTTCTTTGAAAGGCAAAAAGTGAAACAGGTTTATCTGGAACTACAGTCAATCTATTAAGAAAATGATCTTACTAAGTTTGTTGATTTCTCACCCTTTGCATCTCACATTCCAGCTGCTTCCTCCTCCGAATCCTCTGCTGATGGTTCTTTAGGATATTCTCCACATGTTGCTCCATGAAGAACTTGAAGGCCTGAGGGGAGTACAGTGCAATTCTTCCCATCTCCCCTCTCCGTTCTTCGTCTTTCTTGTTACGGCGGACAGGAACAGGCGATGTTGTGATTTGCTTATTCTCCTTTTCTGTTGCTGCAGTGCTTTCGGGGGTTTCTGTCATCTTTTCTCGAGAGCTGTCACCACTGCAGCTCTCCTCTTCAGTGGGCTCCTCTCTGCTTGTGCAGAGCTTATTGGCCCCTGGATCATAGGCAGGGGGGGAAGGGGCAGCCTGCTGCGGGAGAAGATGCTTAGGATAAGGGGGAGGGGGGCCTTGGTAGCTAGGGGCTTCTGCTACAACAGAGATCTGAGGCACAGGGTTTGAGGGTTCTGGGTAAGCGGGTGCAGCTGGAGGTGGTGGAGCCTGCTGCATCCAAGGGGGGTGTGTGGGAGCGACGGCAGTGTGTAACTCAGGTTTCTGGACACGCATGCTTTTGACTGGCTGCAGGATGGGAGCCTGTGTGATGGCAGTGACCGTGGTGGCAGAGGGCTGGGAGCTGGCTGTGTGGGCCGATCTGCCGCTCAGCTGGTGGTTATTGAAGGAATTAGAGCGGACCGGCACGTTGTGCTGCCATGACGGGGACAGATCCTGGTTGCTGCTGTTGCCCGAAGAAGACTGGGGCTGGTTGGAGGCCATAGGAGCCTGGGACCAGGACTGAGGAGGACCTATATTGTACATGTCAAGGTTGTGACTGTTTCGGTTGGGAAGCATCATGGATTGAGGGATGTTTCCACCGTTGACGTAAGAAGGGGACGATGCAGGTCCTCCTGCCTGCATCTGCTGGTCAGTAGGACTGTGCCGGCTGCTCTGGTTGACCGGGTACGGGGGAGGAGGCTGTCTGCTGCCTCCAGCCATGTAGTCTGGCTGAGGTGAGCCATTCTGAGACCAGCTGGAGGGGAAGGTGAACTTATTCCCCCCAGAGCTTTGCATTATGATGGGCTGGTGGCCCACAGGCACTGGGCTGATCCCACGCTGATTCTGTGGGGCTGCAGCTTGGTATCCATCAGGCCTGGCCCCCTGGGGTACCGGAGAGATGCGGGGCACAAGGTAATCCATGTTGCCAGAGTAGCGCTTGGTTGATGGGTTGCTGTCCCAGGACGGTGCAGGAGTCAAGGCACCGCGGTTTGGTGGAGGTGTAACACTGCGCACCTGAGGTGGCAGTGGAGGATTAACTCTCTGGCCGTTAGGGTGACCCTGTGGGAAAGCAGGAGGAGGTCCGGGGCTGTCTGAGCGGTACATCATTCCATCCACCATGAGAGGACCGTGTCGAGGAGCCAAAGACTCCTTAGAACCTTTCCAGCTCGGCCTCCTCAGCACAGCCTGCTGAATATGAGAAGACCCTACAGACACGCACAGAAAAAACTAAAATACAATCAAGATAAAGTGCCATGGCTTGTTGTAAGAAACACTACATCAATATTTCCTTACATTGTTTTTATTATATTTTTTAATAAAAAGGCCCAGAACTGTTGTCCAAACTCAAAAAATACCTCTTGTTACTAATATGTATCTAACAATACCAACATGTTTGCCAACCTATTATAATGCATTTTCCTTGAATGAACTATTTCTGTTATTACAAATAAAACCAAATTTCCTGTCTTCTGTTATGTGATGCAGTGACTCATTCTCTTTTTGTTAGCATGTATTGTCATTTCTTTAAGCAAATGTCCCAAATCCTGTACACAATATCACAACTGAATGAACATGCCTGGATGGAAAATAAAAGAGGAAACCCAGCATTTATTCCCAGTGGACAGTTACGTACCTGGGGCTTTCAGACCTGTAGTGTTTGGGTTGGTCACAGCAATCTGTTCCCTCATTGAGTCCTGGTAGCTCACCTTACCCATGTAGTCTATAACTGCCCCCACACTGCGACTGTTGCCCTGTTTAAAAGGCACCAAAAAAAAAAAAAAAGAAATAGAAGAACATCATTAACATTTACAGTTTGGAATATCAAAGTGAGACAGGATGCAAATGACCAATAAATACATTTAATACAGGATTAATTATTTTGCTAAACAGTTCGCACATCTTTCATGTAAATAAATTAAACATCCAACTAAACATTATTTTCATTATCAAATAATCTGCACATTATTTTCTTGATTACTCAATTAAACGTTTGGTCTATAAAATGTCTGATGGCCCAAAACCCAGACATATTCAGTTTACATTGATAAAAAAAGTCTGAAAAAATCTGAAAATCCTCACATTGGAGACAGTTTAGCTTCTATCCAAATAGTTGCAGAATAATAATTTGTCGATCAACTAATCTGTAAATTGATTAATTATTGTTGTTGTTTCTTTCACCAACAGTCATCTTACAGTTACTTGTTACAACTGAAAATGTGACACTTGTGAATGTGCATTGCATAATGTGACACTTCATACCTGAACTGCACACACTGGCTCAAAACAAGCGACAACTGGCAACTGAGAAACTAGTTTTGTATTGCCACCTGTACAAACTCGTCATTCCACTTTGCATACTTTTAATTTTTCAAATGACTTTCTCATAAACAATGGCACAGAGTGATTATTCTCAATTACAGAGTTATCTTTAGAATGAAACATCTCCACAATCCTTCATAACAACATGTCTCTGTGACAAATAAATCCAAAAAACTGTCATCTCACCTCTTCGAACCCAGCACAAGGGGGTTCAAGCGACATGTGTTTGTTTGTCTCAGGGCCTGAAATACTGGGCTCATTAGCAAATGGCAACAGGGATTTGCGGATCTCCTGTAAGGCTTTATGGTAGGGGTGTTTGGGGTTGCTGGAGCGCCCTTGTTGCCTTGGGTCCTCAGAAGGCATTTTTCCAGGTCCACCAACGTCAACTTTAGGTGGGTCAGAGGGTTTGGACAAGTTGCGCAGACTGTTCCGAATTTCCTGCAGCATATGCTGGCTGTTGCCGCTGTAGTTGCTGGCGGGGAATGTTTTGGGTCTCATCTGTCTGTATCCTTCGGGTTTCTCCCCTCTCTTCATGTAAGAGCATGTATGATGACGATGAAGGGTATGAAGAGGCTGTCACTCAGTCCAGGGTTGCAGGTGTCTCTGATGTCTGACCTCACATCTGCATGCCGCTGACAGAAATACACAAAACCATTGTGAGATAAGCAGGAATCCTGAGTACATGTCATGTCACCAAACAGGCTAGACAAATGATATGTGGAAAGTAATAATTAACCGATAAACATTAGTAATATGACGACAAGTCAGGCTGTCAACTTTGATTTCAGTGCTTTACCGTTTCACTTAAAGTTAGACTCGTTGTCTAAAGCTTTATGGTAAGAGAAACTTGCCTTTCCCATCACAAAACAAAAACCCATAACGTTACACTTGCTAGCGTCGTTAGCAACTCGGGCTAACAGAGCGCTATTTTAACACTAATTCCCCTGCGTTAATTATTGGTAAATTTAATGCTAAAGTTGTTAATCACCTTCGCGTAAATATATCCAACATTTAGCGACCCCATATACTGCAACCCGAGTTACCACAATTTCACTTTGCATAAAATCTAACGGCGCAGGAGCAGTTCCTCCGCGGCCTGTGTGTTAAAGGCATCCATTTGCTGCTAAGCTAATTCAACAACAGGTTGGGAATTAGCTGCTAGCTCGGGACACAACTGCCAACAGTTAGTTAGCCGTTAGCCGCGTCTGACAACTTACCAGTGTCCGTAGCTGCCGCGGTCCTCGACACTTTTCCTATTTTGACAAAAAAAAACGATATTTCCTTGACCTTTCTCGGCGACAAGGACGTGTTTTTAACTTAAAATGTCCTCGTTGTGCCGAGCTGGCTTGATCCTAGTCGTGATGGATTCCTGGGATGTCTGAATGACAAGTACAACAGCAACAAGGTAGACATGGAAGTCACGCCACACACTTCCGGTTCTTCTGGGTTTCACAATAAAAGAAGGAAAGTAAACTCCTGTGGCTAGTTTTTTGAACTATCTTGTTTATACAGTATCACATTACAAAAAATGTCATCATTCTTCACTTCACCTCTGGTCTGAACTGTTAAAGATTTAATTTTTCAAGTTTGGCAGTGGTAATTTATTTGACTGGTTAATTGGAAACAAGATATTTACAGTCATTGTAGCTACAGAATTTATTAAAATGAATGAATAAAAGGGTGGAGATGGTGTTACATCACTTGAGACAATAAAAATAATCTGCCTTGGATTTTTTAATTTTAATGAAACAGTCAGTGGACTTATGAGACATTTGTGTAAAGGTTTTATTTATTTCAAAAAAGTTTTTATTGACATCCGTACAAAAGTTGAGTTCAAACACTCTGCTTGGAATGATCTTAAAAAAAACCTTCAACCATGCAACTGCAAATACACAAGAAAAGACAAAATGTCACAAGCATACTCTTCAATAAAGTATTTTGGGCACCCTTTATCATTAAAGAGGACAATAAAACCTCTGTTGAAATTGACAGCAAATAAACAGATCATCGACATCTTGTCCTGTGCATTAACACCCATTTTAAACTGGGACCTGTCGGTTGACAAAAATAGCCTCTCCGTCAGTCCCACAGACAAGACATTGTCCAAGTACATCCAAACTGTTTACAGACAACGTCTGGCTTGGCAGCATGTGAGTCGTCTCCAGACGGCCTTTACTGGAGTCACCACTGAGCCAGGTGCTAATGAGGGACTGGTTCCCTCCAGCCGGGGCCATTGCACTGCGAGAGATCATGCTATTGTTCCTGCCACCTGGAAAACAATGATAAAACCCATCTCTTTTATACTTTAGAAGATTATTATGACTACTGAATTATTACAATGTCGGTGTCTTGTTTCTTTAGCATGTTGATGCCAGCTTTCTACCGCTTGGTTATCTGTATCACGCTAGCTGACTCAGTGTTTTCCTGATCACTCTGACAACCAAAAGATAACAGTCAGCATTGTATGACTAATACATGAAATATGTAAATATTCTGTGATTAAGATAAAAGCTACAGTTTCTATAATATGATTGTGTCGTCATGTATAATTGTCAACTCTTGTTGCAGCTATTTGCTGTTTCAATCTGGTGACTGGTTTAGTTTTTTGGGTTTTTTTTGCCTTTATTACATCAGGAGAGACAGGAAAAATGGGAGAGATTTAATTTAATTTAATTTAATGAACTGTATGAATTGTACTATCCTTTTGTATTATCCTTTAAACTCTTTTGTAATTGTTCTCTTGACATTCATGCCAATAAAGGAAACAGAGAGAGGGAATGACCTGCAGCAAAGGGTCGCGGGCCAGACTCAAACCTGGGCCTCTACGGCAAAGACTCCGCCCCTGCACATGGGGCGCATGCTCTAGTGGTGAGTTAACCAGCGCCCCTACCACAGAATTTCTAAAATTATGTCAATCTTTTACACAGAAAAAAAACAAACCGATTTTTCCTTTGAAGTAAAAATTTAGGTAATAATAAAAATACACATAGTGTTGTAACACGTGAGTTAAAACACTATAGGCCCGATTTACCAACATCCCGAATAAAGAGTACTAAATTGCGTGTGCATTCTAAAATATTGCACATGCAATGTTAGTACCTGTTATGTGTGATTTACTAAGAACTATTGCGTAGATGACAACAGGTGCAAACACAGTGGAGGTGACAGTATTTAAATGAGGGTTTTGCATGTTTTAATGGTTTCCGCTATGGAAAGTGGGGAGGGAAAGCTGCCACTGTGTAAAAACCTTGGTTTGTTTCAATCAGTGCGTCAGTAAGTGGAAATCGTATGTACCTGCCCGTCCTGCCTGAGATTGCACGAAGTACATGGGACAGCACACCTAAAAAACTGCTTTGGGAAACCCCAGCAGAAACAGCTACAGTATGCTGCAATGATCCAGACGTGAGGAAATGCCAGAAGATCGTGCTTCATCCAGCTAGAGGGAACAATCACAGACCGTCCGCACTGTGCACGGTCGCTACGCGATCTCCTGTCCCTGACCCTGTACACCCCATTCCCTCTTCGATACCTACAATGGATTGTGTCGCTATATTACGACCGATGAGCTATGAACAGTTGGTGGTCGTTCCCTCTGGCTGGATGAATTTCACGTGTGATCCATGCACTACTGCAGCTGGGGGCTCTCTGCAGCGCCACGCAACTTTCTAAATTCTTCCATCTCACGAAGACAAGAAGTCAGGTCGAAACGAAATTTGCTGTATTGGCATGAATGTTAATACAACAGTATTGCCAAAGCTAAGCTAAAAAACAATTCAATTTATATAGTTCATTGAATAAATAAAATAATTGGATTTCTATATATTGGATATAGAATAATATTATCCAATATTGTTAATTTCTCTATGTTGTCTTTCATTAGGGCTGTGTCTCTGGCAACGATAACAGCAGCCATCTCTGCGAAACACTTGGCAATTTGCACCTTCCTTTCAATTGTATTAAATACAGATGCTGTTGCACTCACATGAAATTGCTTTTAGGCTTGGTAGATCACATTGCGTGTAGTATATAAAAAGGTATTTGCATGTTACCCTCCCACTACTTTGCACAATAAAACTGAAATGCCCCAAATTGCATATTCATTAAGGCAAAAGTACTAAATGAACAACAGGTGCTATTTTGCACTTTTGAAAGAAGTCTGCGGGCACACCATTAGTAGATCAGCTTACCTGTTAATTTGCAGGTGACATCAAGTTTGCACACGTTTTTACTCACGCAAACCTTTAGTAAATCTAGCCCTATGTGCTAAAAACTTTGTAACCATCCAAATATGTTTATTGTATTTTCATTCATTTCCAATTAAAAACAGTATAATTTCAGACACTCACGCTTTTCCCAGTCTTCACTTTAAAATCCCATGAAGGGATGAGCCCACTTAATCATAGTAACACACCTGCATCCTTTCCACTTAACCCAATAATACTATACTACTGGTGAACAATGTAGGCAGCATATAATGGTACAATCTATCCTGATATCTTCTGGGTTATGGCACAGATTGTTTTCACATTACATCCTTTTTGTATTAAAATGCTGTTTCTTGGCAAATCATAACATTAATTTCTTTTGAGTGTTTGTTATCTCCCTGCTGGCTAAACCAAACTGCGGACAGAATCATTTGACTTGCCTTGTAGGAAGGAGGGCATGTCTGAATGTGAAGAAGTCTCCCAGTGCAGCAGCGAACCATCCTCTGAGCATGTGAACAGATGATCTGGGTTGGTTGGATGGAAGTGGACTTCCCACACTGTGCAGAAAACCAAAGAAAAATATTTATAAAAACAAAAAAAAAGTCATTAAAAAAGAGAGATATAAATCTTCCCATATACAACCTCTTCACAATTAAGTTTAAAACTGGTAAATTAATTAATCTGCCCACAATAAAGTCGTACTTTCAGCAGAGTGTGCCTCCATGAGTGAGAAGGGTGTGCTGCCTTGTCTCACATCCCAGACACAGAGCATGCCGTCCTGCCCTCCTGTGGCCACAATGTGCTGTTGGTTAGGATGTCTGTCCACGCAGTGCAGAGGAACTCTATCCCCTGACCTGAAAGGAAAACAACTTATAATCAAAATAACCCAAATATTAAATGTAGAACAGAAAAATAAATGTTAGGAAAATGTTAATGTGTGGTTAGACCTGAAGAGATCTTACAGGGAGAGAATCTGGGATGGTGAGTTGCACTGTTGTCTGAAATCCCACATCTTGAGTTGGCCAATAGAGTTTACCGTCAAAATCTCGGTTGTCCTCAGGTAAGTCACAGCATGAATCGTGCTGCTGTCTGCATTCTCTAGCAATGGTCAAACAGTCCAATAAAAACCCTGTTAGTATCATTCCACATGACCTGAAGTTGCTATTATATGCTAAGAATTGTAGTTCTGTGTGTATTTTAATGTGACATGATGGTCTGGCTACAGCATCTTAATCTCACCGATGACTCGTATCACTCCCTCCTGGTCAGCTCTAAAGACGATGATCCTACCATCTTCTCCCACTGTGACGATCTCAGGACTGCTGCACACAACACCAGTACAGGGAGCGTTGTCACACGGGTAACGATGTGCTCTCGCCCACCGCTGAGAAACTGATATTGTCTGCACTCAAGAGAGAGAAGATCTGAATATTTATCAAACCACAAGTATGTTGTATATTCAGTTAGTCAATAAGAAGTGTGCCTATTACTTATTTCCTGAAACTTCTCCTGTTAATAAATAAAGGTTTATAAAGTCATTAATAACATACAAATTGCCTCTGAAATACAAGACAATGGTCAAGCTAGGTAAGTCTACCTCCTAGTAATTCCTAGCTGAGATCCGAGTTAAGAGTCAGGTCAAATGTTTCACTCATCAGAGTTAAAGTTCACTGATTTATCCATCCATTATTATGTTACAACATATTATTGTCGTCTTTCACAAGATATGTACAACAGTGTTTGTATTTACAACATATTTTCCTTTAGTTTGCTTAGATTAATTTCATAAAAATCTTTAACCAGCCAAATTATATCAGAAACACCACAGAGTGTGCTATGTGAAGAACACAGGCAAAACAAAAGAGATTACATACAAAAGTGATATATCTGAAAAACATAACTCAACCTGTGTGTACCTGACTGTTTTGGTGGTTGCGGAAGATGGTGACTGCTCCAGTTGACGATGCTGTGACAATTCTGTCTTGGTCCAAAAACTGTAAAAAAAAAAAAAAAAAAAAAAAAAAAAAGACAAAGATAAATTAACCCATTATAAATACACAGACCTGTATTATTATTATTATTATTATTATTATTATTATTATTATTATTATTATAAGTTATTCCTCCCAGGGAAAGACACTTGGTATATCCAGTCTTGAATCAACCAAGAGGTTACATTAATGTAAAGTGTAATGCAAATTCCATGTGTATG